TTGAGGTATTTCAAAGGATTGATTAAAGGTGATAGTTCCTTAAATTTTGACAGATTTTTTTAATCTTTTGGCGGATTTAATACATCACTACTTCATTTCATGTGGAATTTAATTCTAAAACTTTTCTTACTCTTATTATTTTTTTAAAAAGTTTGTCGTTTTCGGAAGAATCTTAAATAACTAAAGACACGTATTTCGTAATGTTACTTAAAATAAGCGAAAATGTAGTAGTCGGCTATGAAATTATACGTTTAACTTGACAAATAGGTTATAAAGTTATTTGACGACAAGGTATTATAACCTATTTGTCAAGTTTGACGTACAATTTCACAGCCGACCACTGAATTTTCGACGATTTTAAGTAGCATTAACAAAATACGTATCTTTAGTTATTAGTTTTTATGAAAACGACAATGTTTTTTAAACAATAATAATAGTAAAAAAAGTTTTAGAATTAAATTCCACATAAAATGAGGTAATAATGTATTAAATTCACCAAAAGGTTAAAAAATCTGTCATAATTTAGGGGACCATCACCCTTAATCAACCCTTTGAAATGCCTCAATTGGTCTCAACTGGCTAGTAATTAATGCCCTCGGTACACTCATAACGTATACCAAATTTTATTTTTCTAGTTTAATGTATTACTAAGATATTCAACTATACAACTTTGAAGGCCTATAACTCCTCAGGGGTACAACTTACTATAGAGATAAGTTGCGTTAAATCACCTTAATTTATTGTCCTCTACATGTCCGTGATCTGTGTCGGTTCTTATGTGAATCACCCTGTATAATGGGCATTCTGTATGGTTAGCACGGTCGATGACGTCACAAAAAGTGAAGTCACGTCGAAACTTTAAAGTGATTTTTCGGTAAGTTTAACACTTTTCCACACTTTTGAGTGAGTTCCCGTCGATTAAAAAAAAATTGTCGATGTTTAAGCGACATGATGATTCTTGAATTATAACCTAACTCATCCCGTACCAACTAAGGGTATTGTAAAGAGGTTACTGAGGAATTGTCGGAAATTTGGAACATTTTCTCAAAAATTTAGTAAAACGAAACCAGTTACTGACAATGAGGTAAATGAAACCATAATTCTTGCCTATTTCACTGCATACCCGAAAAATTCCATAAAAGATGCAGAAGTAGCTCTTCGAATTCCCTGGACTAGCCATCCACCGTACCTATTTTATTAAAACATAAGTGGAAACTGTTTAAATTTTACGGTGTTCAACATTTGAAAGACGGAGACTTGGTATCACGGGTGGAATTTTGTGAATGGTTTTTAATTAAGTCACAAGAAGGTAACGATTTTACAAAAAAACATAATTTGGACCGATGAAGCAAAATTCAACTTTGAAGAATCGTGGAGTTTTAATGTGTTTTGTGTGATAAAAACACGATAAAATTTTATCGCTTTTTTTACGATGAAAACTTAATTTCAGGTAGCAATGCAATGTGTTGGAGCAGAATTCCTTCCAGAATATGAAGCCCGTGATGCTTGGTATCAAATAGACGGTGCTCCTTTACATAGGACCAATGCAGTGAGATTTGTGGTAAACGATATGTTTGAACATAGATGGATTGGAATTAACAGGCCATACACATATCCACCGCGATCTCCCGACTTAACTCCACTGGAAGACCAAGTGTATGGGGATCCTGTAAGCGACAAACCAAAACAGCAATTCGAGCTGCTTTCAATTCATTATTTGGCAACTCTATCCGGGAGGCCACCAACCGACTCATGTTAACAAGGACACAATAACTCTATACTTTTCAAGTGAAGCATGTTTAGGAGAAAATTGCAGTGTTTTTGAACATTTAATTAAATAGTTATATTTGTTATTTTACATTTTCTCATTTAGGTACTACAGTTTCGTTTAAAATTAAATCTAATCAATAAAGTTTTCTTTCCTCTAGCTGCTTATTTGTTATCCAATGCGCTTTGGATGTTTTCAATTTTATTATGTTGTGGTTTTAAACAAAATGAATCATATATGTTAGGGTTGCTATTTGAAAAAATTGACTTTTACGGCTTTTCTTAAGTTCAACTTTGATATTATAATTTGAACATCCTGTATAGCATTTCGACGAACCTTACTGATCCTCCGATAATTTATTACCAACACAAACCTTGTTTTCCAGCGATCAGATTTATAAATTATTGAAGGTAACATTACAGCTTTCATATTTTTTTAAATATATCCTATTTATTGTATTAATGTAACATACAATTGGCCTAAAATTGAACAAAGGTTTCAGAAATCTAATAAAATACAGGTGTTCCATTTGAAATATGAAAATTGATACCACTTCCGGTGTAATCACAAGTAATCGGAAAGTCAAAATATTTTAGTTAAAGAGATCGTATTAAACATCATAAGTCAACAAATTTTCAAACCCCCACTTCATTTGGTACTCTATATAGTTCTAATGGACGGTCGTCGTGGATGGCCCTGTATATGTTCCGTGATAATTTTTGTAGATTTCCCTGTAATTTTCCCCTTGGTTTCTCTTTAATTTGCGGCCGGTTTTCTAACGAGCATTCCAAAGAACGCGCTGTACAATTAAATTCTCATCTATCACGAGAGAAGCCCCCGAGGGCTGTCGACGGCGCGCCCCATTCTCCTAAAAGAACCTGAAACGCGTCGAAATAAATCGCGTAAAGATAACGTTAGCCGTCCAACCAGTGGCGTACGGTTTGTTTTTAGTTGGGCAATTCGCGGACGCGCACTATGCAAATCCCTATTTATCGCGTGTTCCCTCGTGGATATAATTAATCTAACAATAACGTCGGTCTGGAAGCTCTCCTAAACTTTCCGCGCAAACAGCGACGTTTTAACAACAACAAACACGACCGTTGCGCGTTTAAACCTCACCAACAGTCGTAAAGTTTGTTGTAAATTGTAAAGCAACGGTTATCGCTAAAATGATTGTAATAATAATAATAATAATAATAAGCCGAATTAAACTTTATACCCATATTGATTTTTTTACTTTTTGTTTTTGGGTTATTATAAATCCCTTTTTGTATAATTAATATCATATTTTAATTAAAAACATTATTTTGTTGTAATTCATTGAAGGTATGAAATTGAACCGCAAATAATTAGTTTTAGGAAAATAGTGAACAATGGTGGTTTGGTAACAAGCGAAATTTCATAATTCCCGTAGGCGATCAAGTTTCAACCGAACGATCGTTTCGACAGGTTACAAACTATTACGAATTCCGCGAATATTTAAACGGACTGCTCTCGAAACTATAACTAAACTGTTTATATTTAAATTGTATACCCTTGATGTGTTTTAACATTTTATATCTAGTTGTTTAATGTTTTAGAAATGTGTTCTAATTTGCTATGTGTATATTGAATGCAACAATTACAAAAATTTAATTAAAATTTGAACATTTTAAATTCAATTATAATTTACAAAAATGGTGGGGGAGCCGGTAAATAAACAATAAAATAACATACATTAGTACTTACGTTATTATGGAGCCCTCGTACTTGATAAGTCATCATTTAGTAAGTTATTTCATTGTGAATACAACTCCTAACCTGCAAAATCATCCTAACTTTATTTTCTACAAGTTATATAATAACTAAATTTGTAAAAAAATCTTACCTGAGATTACTTCAAAACATTTTCTTGAACCCCATATACAGTAAAACCTTGATATAACGGATTAACACAGGGAAGGAAGTGTCCCTTATATGAAAAATTTTTAATTTACACTTTAAACTATTTGTATTAATAATTTTAATGCACACAAATTCGGACAGTTATCCACACTGTTGCGTTCAGTCTATTTGGCTTTATATTTATACCAAGGACGCTAGAATTTAAGAACTATCGTCCTTGAGTTATACATCATACTTGAAATACAAATGTGGAATAGAGCAACTTAGGGAATAACTAAATATACTGGTGTATTAAGGTCCATTACTACCATCTTTTAGTTAAATTTATCTTATAGATAAACCCATCTAGCCAAGCAGAGCGCGTAAAATAGCCGTAACCATGGTAACAATCCCTTAGATAGCCCCTGCTTGGCTAGTAGATGGGTTTATCAATAAGATAAATTTAGCTATAAGATGGTAATGGACCTTAGGCTCGTTACTACCACCTTCTGGTTATGCTATCTAAGGGATTATTACCACAGTTACGGCTATTTTACGCTTTCTGATTGGCTAGTAGATGGATTTATCTATAAGATAAATTTAACTAAAAGATGGTAGTAATGGACCTTAGGCTCGTTACTACCATCTTCTGGTTAAGCTATCTAAGGGATTATTACCATGGTTACGGCTATTTTACGCGCTCTACTTGGCTAGTAGATGGGTTTATCTATAAGATAAATTTAACTAAAAGATGGTAGTAATGGACCTTAATACAACAGTTTACTTTATCAAGAGGTGGTAAAAGTGGGCCTAAGGCTCGTTACTACTTACTCTTCTGGTTAAGCTATCTAAGGGATTATTACCATGGTTACGGCTATTTTACGCGATCTGCTTGGCTAGTAGATGGGTTTATCTATAAGATAAATTTAACTAAAAGATGGTAGTAAGGGACAATAGCCAATGAGAGCGTTTAAAATCGCTGTAACCATGGTAATTATCCCTTAGATAGTTTATCAGGAGAATGGTAAAAGTGAACCTTGCCAATGAGAGCGCTTAAAACCGCTGTAACCATGGTAATTATCCTTTAGATAATTTATCAGGATGATAAAAGTGGACCTAAATGGATAGAATTAATAGTATGTCTCAAAAATATTCTATCTGTTATATCCAGGTTTTACTGCATTATAAAATTATGAGTATGGCCCAACTGGAATATGACTCTTAGGTAGTTATAAATAGGATTCTGGAAAGATAAGTGAAAATATAAAATTAAGGACATGATTAGAATATTGACAGGAATTAAATTATAATAATCAGAAATTAAAGGAAATTACCTAATCACATTATAGAATAGGAGTATTACAAAACATTTAATTTCAATATTTTTTTTATTATGTCAAAACCTGTCTATACAAATAAAATAATCAGGTCCTTAGCCCTGTTTTTGAGCCAATTCCTTAGCTTTGGCCCTTTCCAACTTAGCAATACGCGCTGCAGATTTCGACCCAAGAATACCACCGCCCCAGTGACGTCTGATTTCATCGCCGCGATCATTAAAGTTCGTCTTGATTACTTCAATCAATTTATTGAAACTCGCCCTATCGCCAGAGTCAACCTGGCAAAGAGCTAAACTGGTGCAGGTTTTCCTTCTCACCAAAAGACCCAACCTGCCTTTTCCTTTAACAATACAATATGGAACGCCCATTTTTCTACAAAGGGCAGGTAGGAATAAAACGAGCTGTAAATGAAAAAAAAAACATTAATTTCAATAACATCCCATTTTTCACATTAATTATGTGTATTAAATACGTTGTTTGCTCAGTTGTCAAGTGTCTTCAAGCGGCTGAATGGTCTAATAAAAGTTATAAGTCGCATTCAGGTGAAGAAATTCAAAGCATTGCCATCATAGCAAACACATTAACAAAATTTAATCAAATTTAATGTTTACCTCAATTGGATCAACATCATGAGCAATTACAACTAATTGAGCTTTCTTTTGCTCAACAAGTTTAGTAACTGTGTTGGTACCAGCTCTGATAACATTTGCCCTTTTCGCTGGGGCTTCTTCCTTTTTAGCAGATTTAGCTTCAGCTTGAGCTTTTAGTCTGTTCTTTTTTTGCAAAGGAGTCTCTCCTCTGTACTTTTCAAGGATTTTAAATAATTGTGTAGCTAAAACAAAGCAAGAATAATTTTAACTTTTCATTAAAGATCATATTATTTATTCTTAACAAAAAAAATTCCTCAGACATTCTATTGGTGGTAGAAAAAGTAATCTTCAGATTTAACTCAGATAGCAAATACAAAGATCATCATAAAAGTATCATAAAAAACAAATTTTTTAGCTTTTTTTTAATTCTTACCTGTTTGTTTGTCAAGCGTTTGAGTAAATTGATTAATTGGAGGTGGAACTTTGAGACGTTTTTGTAAAACAGCCTTTTGCCTTTGAATACGAATGTATTTCGGCCATCTAACAAACCTGGAGAGGTCTCGAACAGGTTGGATATCCTGACCTAGACAAGAAAAAATTCTATTTAATTTTTTATTCAAACATAACCTCAAATTATAACTTTTTAGACTTTATTAAATCAGAATTAAAAAGCTCGTTTTGGTATTCTTCAAAATGTGATTCAGAATACAATGTATAATCATCATTTAAAGCGCATAATTAGAATTAAGAGATTTAAATTTAAGCTCACCGATTCCAAAATTCCTGGATCTTTTTTCAAAAAGGGGATTTGTTACTTTCTTTTGCTCAACGGTTTTTGTCGCTAAAGGCGCTGCAGCCACCTTCTTGCGCGTTACCTTCTTCTTGGGCTAAATCAAAAAAGAACTTTTTAACATTTATACATAACCTCAAATGCAAAAAGCAAATAAATCGATTTATTATTTCTTAGATTGTGAAATCTGAGTTAATGTAAGTATTTCTAAGTTTAATATATTAAATTAAGTCGTAAATTAAAGTAAATCTTTAAAAAATATCAAAACACGCCACATGTAAACAATCTAACAAGACATAACCTCAAAGTAAATTTCTTTTTTTAATACAAATCAAGCAAATCTTAACAAAATAGTAAATTAAATACATAGAGATAAGCCTTACCTTCTTTTGCACCATATTTAAGTCTTCCTAAGACTAAAGATGACGCGAATAAATACGGATTTTCGTCCGACGATCTGGTGTACGGTCTTTTCGGAAAGAACCCGTACGTAAAAGAGCGCCCTCACGGAAATGACAGTTAAACTAACCCGGGAAGTTTAATATTTTTAGTAATACCAACACCAAAAAATTAAAAGTTTTATTATTAAAATAAAATTGTTACAAATTAAATTATATATAACAATTAACTTTTTGGGAATTATTAAATTAAAAAATCACTTTAAAATTATTACTAATTATTAAATTTAATTATTATTTGTAATACCAATCTTAAAATGAAAAATATTTTACCTTTTTAAATTTTTAAATTCAAACAGTTTTATTATAATTTTTTTAATTATATTGCAATAATAAAGTTAAAAATTGCCCACCTTTTTTTCTACTAATTTCTAGTTATAAACATGACATCATTTTTCGCATAGAAAAATAATAATCTAACCTCAAAAATTAAAAACGTCAATGAAACGTCAATTTTCGCATTGTTATTACGATGTAAATAAAGGTAGTTTGTGGTAGTTTCTTTTTAAGTTTATCAAAACGGTTTCTTTTTGCAATTTTTAACCTAATTGATCTTCAATTAAATCGATTTTAAAAGATGGATATCGATAAATTTACCGATTGGGATCCAGCGAATGATCGGGAAGCTGATAACTTAACACCCACAGCTAATTCTCGCATAAGAAGGTAATAAAAACACTATTTGTAGGTGTAAAATTGAATTCTTAAATTTAGGGATTTAATGGGGTTATACACTGAACCACCACCAGGAATTTTTGCTGTCGGCGATGAAACGAATTTAAAATTCGTTTACGCATTGATTATTGGACCAATGGGGACACCTTACGAAGGAGGATTTTTTTATTTTATGCTCAAATGTCCTAATGATTATCCGTTACAACCGCCTAAAGTAAAATTTTTGACTACGGATGGTGGAAAATGTAGATTTAATCCTAATTTATATAAAAATGGAAAAGTTTGTATCAGTATTTTAGGGTAAATTCTTTTAGTGGTAATTTTTTCAAACAAAATTAATTGATTAAAATTTTAGTACTTGGACGGGTCCAGCATGGAGCCCTGCACAACAATTAACTAGTTTATTGGTTACGATTCAAAGTTTATTAACAGAAAAACCTTTCTTTAATGAACCAGGTGTTAAAGTAAGTTTATTTAATTATTCTATTATTAAAAAATTATTTTTTATTATTATTAGGAAAATACTCCTGGCGATGCAAGTAGATACAGTGATATAGTTACTTATAACACATTAAAAATAGCTGTTTGTGGAATGGTTGATAATGAATGTCATTTACACATCCCTTCAAGACTGAAAGAAATTATTAAAAAGTCGTTTTGTAATTATTACGAACAGTATATGCACATTATCGATGAAAAAATGCATTTGGATGGTTACGTTTACATGGTAATTAAATATTATAGTGAATTTCACTTAAGATGCAATATACAAAAATGTATTTCCATAGAAACCATTGCATACCAACTTTGTCCCACATAAAATGCAACATGTTTGAAAACGCATGGCTAAACCTGACATTTTCTAGATCTAGTGTTAGTTCTAGTTTTACTCTAGCACTATCACTGGAACTAACACAAGACCTAGAACTAGAATCATTTGGGTTTAGCTGTTTTGAGAAACGCATGGCTAAACCCCAATGTTTCTAGGACTAGGTCTAGTTCTAGTTTTGCACTAACGCTATTACTAGAACTAACACAAGACCTGGAACTAGAATCATTTGGGTTTAGCTGTTTTGAGAAACGCTATCTAAACCCCAATGTTTCAAGTTCTAGGTCTAGTTCTAGTTTTGCACTAACGCTATTACTAGAACTAACACAACACCTGGAACTAGAATCATTTGGGTTTAGCTGTCTTGAGAGACGCATGGCTAAACCCGAATGTTTCTAGGTCTAGTTCTAGTGTTAGTTCTTGTTTTATACTAGCACTGTCATTAGAACTAACACAAGACCTAGAACTAGAATCATTCGGGTTTAGCTGTCTTGAGAGACGTGTGGCTAAATCCGAATGTTTCTAGTTCTAGGTCTAGTGTTAGTTCTAGTTTTGCGCTAGCACTATCACTAGAACTAACACAAGACCTAGAACTAGAATCATTCGGGTTTAGCTGTCTTCAGAGACGTGCGGCTAAATGCGAATGTATCTAGATCTAGGTCTAGTGTTAGTTCTAGTTTTAATTGTTATTCAGCGTTAGATTATGTTATATTTTTATTGAATGAAAAGTGGAACGAACACTAGACTTAGAACTAGAAACATTAAGGTTTAGCCATGAGTCTCATAAGATGGCCGAAAATTCAGAGTTGTCATAAGGACGTCACCTATTTCCAAGCAAAACTTTTCCTTTGCAAAACTACCCAATGCCTGTACATGTCGATGGGTTTGCAGGGTATCTCAGTTATTATGAAAGATAGAAAGTTGCGGTTTTCGCGAACCTGAGCTACTTTTTATATATATTTAATTTTTTTATTGAACTAAAATTTTTTCAAACTTTTCAATGATATACAGGGTCATCCACGACGACCGTCCATTAGAACTTTACAGGGTTCTGGCCAATACAAAAATTTGAAAATTCAGGTTTAAGTATTATTAATTGCGTTCTCTTCGACTAAAATATTTACAGATTTCTAGCACTTCTGGTTATACCGGAAGTCGCCACCTACTTTATTTTTTTAAATGGAACATCCTATATATTTTTACATATTTGGATTTGTCTATTTTCAAGGTTTATGAATAACTTTACTTTTTGCAATTTGATTCCGCCGTTCTCGAGTTATTCGAATTTTTCTAGAAAAATCTGCTCCAGCAGACATTTGTTCAAAAAATCAGAGAACACTCGATTTTTGGGATATCAATTTAGGATTCAGAACATGCTTAAGCAACATGATGGAGTATGTTTTGGTGCCGAGAACGGCTGTCTAGAACGTTTGGTCACTTTACTATGGCACGTTAACTTTTCAAAATTTGGAAGTACCATAACTTCATTTTTTTAAATGGCACCCCCCATATTTTATTACTTAGTCGTCTTCGGCGTCTCATT